GTGCACACAGGACTGTGTAAGCGTAAGAGTGGCCAGGTCTGAATGAGCTATGGATTATAGAATGACACTGTGGCTTTGCAAGGTAATATCATTTGAGGGGTCGGGTGAAAAATGTACAGGGACCTTTCTGTACGTTTGCACGTCTGTGGTAAATACATGTAACATAAAACTTACTCTTTTAGTTAGTTCTACATGCTTAGCCCTACAGATTGGATCTTGACTGTCCCGCAAAGGCCTATACGATGAAGGCTTGGTCCCCAGCCTGTGACACTATGGGGACGTGGTAAAACCTTTGTGTGTGTGTGTGTGTGTGTGTGTGTGTGTGTGTGTGTGGCGGGGGGGGGTGCACCTGATATAAGAAAGTCAGGTCACTGAGGTCATGACAAGGGATGCTGGAACCCTGCCCTTTCCTAGTCCCTGTTTCCTGCTCACCATGAGGTGAACAATTTTTTTTAATTTACTTTTTTATGTGTGTGGGTGTTTTGCCTGTGTGTATGCCTGGTACCCATAGAGGCCATAGAGTACATCAAATCCTCTGGAACTGGAATTACAGAGAGTTGTGAGCCACTGTGTGGGTGATGAGGCTCAAATTCAGGTCCTCCAGAACAGCCAGTGCTGTTGACCACAGAGCCGTCTCCCCAGTCTCGTGAGCAGCCTCTTCATCCACTCTCGTCATGATCTACCTCTGCACAGACCCAAAGCCATGGGGCGAAGTCTAATGAAGAAGCTCTGATGCCGTGCACTGTGTCCAGCATGGTTTGGTCCTGGAAGCCTGACTGGGGCAGAGACAGACTGAAGGAAGGACAGATGTATAGACACATGTACAGAAAAACAGGGATCGGGTGGGCTATGCTTGATCTGACGGCATGTACCTACTATCCACAACAACCAAGGACCTTAGTGTTTTCATCACGTGCAGTACAGGAAGAGGGGTCAGCTAGCCTGGTGGGAGGTCTCTGGAGGGGAGGGGAGGGGAGCAGGCTGAAGCTGCAGTCATTTGGAAGGAAGAAACTGCAGTTGCTGATTTACACACACTGGCCAATGGCTCACTCGCTCTTGGACCAGAGGAAGACTTGCCAGTTCTCACTGGTCTAAGGCTTTGGTGTTCTTGGCATGGCTGTGCCTAGAACATTCACTTGGGACTACCTCAGCTCACCACAACCGTGAACCAAAACAGACCTTCCTTCCTTATAAGCAGACTCTCTTGGGCCTTGTGTCACAGCAATGGGGAGCTGACTAACAAACACGAGTGGCAATAATAAACCATCTTCAGATTGTTTTGAAATGAACACTACCGACCCTCTCCAGAACCTTGTAATCCCCACCCCCAAATTAAAGTTCATAATTAAGTCCTAATTCTCCATGTAACTCTATTATTATTATTTTATTATTATTGGTGTTTTGAGACAAGGTTTCTCTGTAGCTTTGGAGCCTGTCCTGGAACTAGCTCTTGTAGACCAGGCTAACCTCAAACTCACAGAGATCCACCTGCCTCTCCCTCCCGAGTGCTGAGGTTAAAGGCAAGTACTACCACCGCCCAGCAACTCCTGACAGTTGTTCATTTCACTTTCCACCTCTTCCATCTTGTCTGTTCCATCTCCTGGCTTTTTTCGCTTACCTTAGTGTCTTCGTGTTGTGGGACAAGGCTGAGCAATATTCCAGTGTCGGAATCTGCCATGCCCTTTTCATCCATTCGTCTACTGGTGGTCACATTATTATTTTTCACCCTTTAGTTATTATGATCCTTGCAACTCTTTTGCCATCTTTCATGCATTTAAAATCATTTCAAGGTGAAATTTTTAGAAAATACCATCAGAAGTAAAACTCATGGATTGGCCAATCCCTTCCTCAGCTGATCACATCAATTAGAGATCGTTGACCTCTGTGCAATTTCCCATGACTGATCGTTTAAGGGAGTGTCTGATTAGAGAAGCATATGTCCCTGGGTTAGGATGTGGGGTTCAGGTCGTTTGGATCATCCTAGCCCATGATTAGAGGCTTAAAGCAGAAGGGAGAGGAAATCCAGGGCCCTGTTGAGACTGACAGGCGATTTCAGTAGACAATGACATTCACATGGACCTAGCTGCAGAACGCGAAAGCTAACACAGCTTGACAATATTTAGCAGGGAAGAGAAATCTGTTTGGATGATTTGTTTACATCACTAATGTCGTTCTTCCTGGACTTGTCAGTCTCTCAGACTGTCAATGTTGAGGTCTTTTTTTTTTTAAGATTTATTTATTTATATGTATACAATGATCTGCCTGCATGTGTCCCTGCAGACAGAGGTTGGCACCAGATCTAATTAACAGTGGTTGTGAGCCAATTTATGGTTGCTGGGATTTGAACTCAGGACCTCTGGAAAAGCAATCAATGCTCTTAACCACTGAGCCATCTCTCCAGCCCCCAATGTTGAGGTCTTAATGACTCCATTGTGCCTTCACAGACAGCCAGGACGGTGCTTCATATGGGTCTGTGAATAGCCGGGAGTGGTGAGGGGACCTCCCCCTCTGTAGCCTATAGGGAGAAGAGAGAGACTTGGCCCCCCCGGAGTTCAGGAGAGATATCAATGTCCCCTCCCCAAACTTGTCACTGACAAGTATTGCAGAGGGGTTGCAGACAGAGGTGCCATGGCCAAAGCATGGCCAGCTGGAAGGCAGCTTCATCCTTGTATCTGGAGAGCTAGGGACTTTGAGTGAACCTCTTAACCCTGAAAGCAAAACTTCCGCTTGTGTATTTTTTTTTTCTGGGGAAAAAAAAAAAAACAAAAAAACAAACAAATAAGCAAAACCCTTCAAGTACTCCGCATCCCTCATACCCCAGGATGTGGCAGAATAAGCTAAGAAGTGTCCTAGAGTCTTCTCTTCAATAACAAGACCTCTTTCCCATCAGTATGGGGCAGAGAGATCTCGACCTTCCCCTTGGGGCTCAGCCTGGTGGCGCCAGCCCAAGGAATGGTGCCCTCCCTATTCCTACTCCTCCCCCGCTTCCCTTCTTTGGTTCTCTGCTCTTCCTCCTCTTTTTAAACTTCACTCTCCCGCTTGCTTCTTCTGTGACACCAGTCTGACGTGTTAATCACTGCAACGGCAGCTGAACGCTCCTCTGTGTTTCATTAATCCAGAAGAAAATACCATCAGCTGGTGAGCGCTCATTTGGCCTCCCCAGGGCCCAGGATCCTGGAACTGTCTCCGTTTCCATGAGTAACAAGACAGAAAGAAGGCCTTTATGAAAGGCCACGGTGACCCGGGCGCTGGATGGTCACGGGAGGCTGAGAGTGCGGGTGGGCTGCAGTCCCTGACGTTGGAGGTCATCCTTCATGGATGCTGGCAGACGCTGGACTGGTCAAGGACTCCTGTGGAGGCCAACTGGTAAAATCCCATTAGGGTTGCCAAGACCAGAACAATGTGACTTCAATAAGGTTAAACTCTGGCGTTTTTACAACTTTTAGGATGATAAGGATTTCAGTCATGTGGGGAAAAGAGCTAGGTAGGGTCTGTCTAAATTCTCCTGGTTGGACGTTGGGGTGCGGTTGGGCCTGGCTCCTGGCCAGAGGCTGCCAGCTGAGTGTGGGCCAAGCTTACCGGTTCCACCTTCTGCCCTGCACGTGGACAAAGCCTGTTCTCTCATCTCTGGCCTCTGGAACTGATAGGGAAACGGATCTGGGCAGCTATTTCAAACGAGAAAAGTCCTCGGGAGCAGCTGACTGAGATGGAAGCTGCCCTGGCCAAAGGTGTCACCCTGCCCTTGAAGTTCCAAGCCACCTGCTACAGTAACAGCAGAACTGCAGGGGGCGGGGGTTTCACTCTCAAGTGAAGCCTTCCTTACTGCCCTCTGGCGTGGGATACTGTATCGACCTCCTGGGTCTGTCCATCTTCCCACTGTCTTCTCCGGAAAACCTTTCCTTACCATGTCTGTCTTCCCTACCTGAGGGGTTATCTGCTTACTTTTCAGTTCTACAGAGTTTGGGAGCTTCTAGAGTAGTGCCCGCCTCTTCAGGTGGCTCTGTAAGAAAGTGGAATGCTGGAGAGATGGAAAGTGGAGCGGATGGGAAGTTCCATTCATGTCCCCATGGCTTTGGGCCTGTCAGGAGGTAGAATATAGTAAGAGTGTGCTGTAAAGGAGCTGATGGTGACCAGGCAACAGAGAGAAACAGGAAGAGGCCAAGGTCACACCCTCTGCTGAAACACCCCAGTGATTTGATTTCCTAACACCAGGCTCTACCTCCCAGAGGTTCTACCAAGTCCCAATAGTGTCCCAAGATGACGACCAAGGCTTCAACATACGGTCTGGGAACTTATCCCTGCTGTTCTGCAGAGCCCTGTGTAAGTGGAAGGATGCTGCCAAGGATGTGCTGTGCGGATGGTGGGTGAGATGCAGCTGGTGGCACAGGCCTATGAGCCCATCACTCAGGAGGTTGAGGCAGGAGGATTGAGGGCTCAAGGCCTGTCTGGGCTACAGAGTGAGTTCATTTTCAGTCCGGGCAACTTACTAGAGCCTATCTCAAGACTGTAGGTTTTCTATACATGGCCACCCATGCTGGGAGCCGTGAGCATTGAACGGAATGGTGATTTGCCAGACTTGGAAGGGGACTTCAGTGTCACGGTCTCCACTCCTGAATCATCTTTCCTGATGAAAAATATCATTTCTAAATGGGACACATATTTCCTGAGGGTGAAAGTTTTTCAGTTCATATATCACAGTGTGTGTCATAGCGTGTCCCTTCATGTCCATTTCAGATACGTTAAGTGGTCACATCTCTTTCTATGGTAGCATTGGGTTGACACATTTTGAAGGTTTTCTCATTAGAGAATTCAAATCAATAGCCTCAGTGACACACTTAGTCTGTATCCGCGGCAGCATAATGTCCTTCAGAAATGCAGAGATTTCAGGGCTCTGGCCCTGGAGAAGCAACCTAGCAGCCGTAGGCAGAGGTTCAAGGGCAGAGAGACATGGCCTCCTTTCTCACACGTTGGCTGTGCACCCGCACATGGAGATATGTGCACCCGCACATGGAGATACAGGCGTGGCGTATTTCCATCTGAGACTACAGTCCATCAACGGTGTTTCCTCGATGAGAAACACCAAAGCACAGCCAAGGCGTGTAGAGATGTACATGGCCGTGGCCCCAGCATCATGGTACACTGACAGTCCTCATGCTCTCTGGGCTCACGGTTGGTGAGGCAGGCAGTTCAGGGGGCGCGGAGTGACCCCACGGGAGACCAACCTCGCCTACGCTGATGCTCAGGTCTCACATACTCCCGAGGTCACTTCCTTTTGGGTACAGAGCTAGAGTTCTTTTTCTGGACCCAAGATGAACCTGAACCATCGGGATTCTCGGGAGTGGAGCTAGGTTCCCAGTCAGGCACTGGGACTACTCCTTCCAGGGATCCTGGAAAGATGGGAATTTGATAGGCCGAAATTCCTGACCTGATCTCAACATGTGGGTCACGACTCCGGGGTGGGGGCTTGTCAAACGACCCTTTCTCGGGGATCATATATCAGATATCCTATATATAAGACATTCACATCATGATTTGTAACAGTAGCAAAATTACAGTTATGAAGGAGCAACAAAAGTAATTGTGTAGTCAAAGATCACCATAACAGAGGAACTGTATTAAAGGGTCACAGCACTGGGAAGGTTGAGAAACACTGACCTGGCCCCTTTGACTACAGTGGGCCCAGATTCTTACCTGCCGCCAGCTCAAAACCACACTAGAACCTCTGACTTTCCAGGTGCCAGGAGTGTGGGTGGAGGGTTGATCACGAATAGCCAGGATTTAGGGGGTGATCCTACCAGCTTTCCTCACCTATGACCTCAGCCCCTCAGTGTTCACCATATGAGCTCAGCAGACACATATGTATGCAGAAAACGTGAAATACTGGAGTAGAGGGGTGGAAAGAGAGCCCATGCCACTAAGGGGGAGGGCTGCGAATCATCTCCCACGCTTGTCAAAAACCTGGACTGGGAGGAGCACTAAGAAGAACCCAGCGAGGCACCTGAAGGGGGACCAGCTGCAGTGACTCACAGGTGAGTTCTCTGGATCATAGGCTCTCCTTGCCATGAGGAAGGAGACCTTCTTGCATGTGGCATTTCTGATCCCGTACGTTTCTGTCAGCATGCCCAGATAAGCATTCTCCTTTGCCCCCCACAAGCCACTCCTCACTTATGAAGGAGGAGCGTGACTCACATCTGCGGGGAAGGCAGTTAGGTGAGCCTAATTCAAATGTCAGACAGATGCAAATCACAGGCTTGTCTATGAATAGCATCCCCGTTGTTCCCAGGAGGCCAAGCTGCTGCATTTTCCTTCAAAGCACATTTGCGCTTTTCCCGTTTATGGGCTGCACCCTGGACTGCCTACCTTTGGCCCCTCAAGGCCACTGCTGTGTTCTTTGTTCCCGAAAGTCTTCCCAGAGTGAAATATTAACAGGTGGTGGGACTGAAGGGCCCGGGAGCCTCCGAAGGCAGGGCTGCTGAAGAAAGGATACCTGGAGGGTGTGTTGCTCACTGACCTGGAATTTTCCATTCCTCTTAAGCTCACGTGACCAGGGCAGTGTTTCCTTGAAGTCACAAAACGACGATGGCTGCGGAGTAGCGTGTGCTAAATAACTGGCCGCTGGCCACAGCTGTTTATGGTGTTGCTGTTGCCAGGGAGACAAAGGCCTGCGAAGCAGCGTGGTGGAAGTGATTAGGCCGGCAAATCGGGAGGCCGAGGCCGGAGATCCGGCTGTAGCTGAGCTGCTGCAACAGCCCGAGGTATCCTGGAGATGCCAAGAGATGCCCTGTGTTTCCTTGGCAGGCTGCAGCACAGGATCCTGTCCTGCTCTGACTTTAGCGGCTGAGCTCTGTTTATTCTGGGGCAGAGCTGTATTTCTCTGTCACCTCTGAGATTCCGCTCCTCCCCCCCCCCCCAACACACACTTTGTCTTCTTCCTTCTCTGCACCACTTTCTCCATTCCTGCCTTCCTGTCCTTACTCACTTCCTTTATCTTAAGGCAGAGGACTCATAAGCCAGGCTACCAGATGATCACGTGTTTTTGAGTTGCAAATGACTTACCTTTGATACTGTCGAGGGCAGCTTCTTCTTAGCCACGTGACCCAGGTCTAATTATTTGGTTTCACTGGTGCTCAGTGTCCTCATCTGTCACGAGGGAACGGTTAGGGCTTTGGTGAGATTTACAAACAGGACCTCTCCCACGAGGGCTGTGGGAGCACAGAGAACTTGTTCCTCTACTAAGGAGGTCCCTCAGACTCTTCCTGTGAATGACAGCGCCATATCTAATCGGTGGCCTTGGCTTCTTTTTCCTTGTCCCCCGCACCTTCTACAGAGTGTTCCTTTCAGGTCTTCTGGGGTTCAGAGGTCGTGGGCATAAGACTTGTGCTCAGGGCCAAGATCCCTGCTGAGATGGAGCTCTACCTTCGGGACTCACTAGTTTCAGTTTTCCAGGCACTCTGTTGGGGAGCATAGCTTTTAAACTATGATTAACTGACTAGGAGTCCCCGAAAGGGGGTGTAACCAAAGCCATAGACCAGACTCATTTTGCACTTGAGGTTGACTTCCAGAATCTTCTTAGTATAGACTTATGTTCCCTGGACGCTGCAGGCTATTTTCAGGGGCTACTTTCAGAGTGTGACTGCCATACACAATCAGAGGATGTGGGCATTACTAAATACAATATAAACCACTTCTGGGGAAGTATTTAAGTTCACTTCTGTGGGATACAACTCTCCAAGCACATGGCTCAGTGGATTATAGGCTGTGCTTTAGAATACAGTTGTCCCATTGGCCAGGAACCTTGGTGTGGGGCACAATGTACCCAACTGAAAGTGATAAGTAAGTCCTGGCATGCACCCACATTTTTTCCCAACTTCCAGTAGGGCATGTTCCATGGCTCGTTTATCAGTCAAGCCCCAGGGCCTAGCAAAAAAACTGGCATACTTAATATTGCTGAATCTTGAATGACTGGCTCCAGGCAGGGCCTTCTAACTAAGGTCACCTGGTGTAAGTGGTGCCCGAATGCTCTGATGTCAGTACAGAGAGGCAGTTAAATACTTTGAACAGGGCGGTGGTGACGCACGACTTTAATCCCAGCACTTGGAAAGCAGAGGTAGACACATCTCTTAGTTCAAGGCCAGTCTGGTCTACAGGATGAGTTCCAGGACAGCCACAGCTACACAGAGAAACCTTGTCTTAAACAAACAAACAAACAAACAAACAAACAGTATTAAATAAATAAAATTTTAAGAAAGACGTGCTTTGGAAGCAGATAAAACGGTTTTGAGTTCACCCAGTCCTTAGCAGATGTCTGATCTTCCCTTCCCCCGTCTCGCTTTCTGTCTGAAATACAGGAGCACAGCAACCCCTATACCGCTAGTGTGTGGTGATGAGTCCCTGAAACGATGTGTGGGCACCTGTATCCATGTTTAAGAGCCAGGTGTAGAGTCCATATGGCCTCCTGGGCAGCGCTGCGGCTGGTTGTCCCTAGGGCCTCCCAGGTTGCCGTCATCGGGCGAGTCCAGGCGTTCTCGGCAGAGAGCTCGATATGGATTGAGTGCTTTGTGGCTGCATTGATTGCTTGCTCCTGGCACCCGTCCACAGACACTTACTGGGGCCTCAAACCCATAGGGCACTCAAGCGTCTAGTACTCTAGGCCTTTCCCAGAAAAGGCAGGACTTCTGTTGTTGTATTACAAATGCCTCCTACAGCTTACCGGATCCCGATACTGCCTAGTGTTCACTTGCCCCGGTTGCTTGGTCTTGGAGACCTGCCATGTCCTATGGCTGGCTGATCTCATGCTATCAGCAAAGGAAACAATGGTCTCTCTGCAGGACTTTGCCCTCCACAAGCTCAGAGAGTAGGAGCGCTACCAGCCAGGTGTGTGTGTGTGTGTGTGTGTGTGTGTGTGTGTGTGTGTGTGTCTGGTGGCCTTGAACTCACTTTGTAGCCTAAACAGTCCTTGGATTTGCCATCCTCCTGCCTCAGCCTCTCTGGTACTGGGATTACAGGCCCCTGGAGCCATCAGCAGGTCGCCTGAGGGAGTGTGTCTGTACGGTTCGGTTGGTAGGGTTCAGTATTAGCGGTACCAGCACGAATGGGGATTTCTGAAAGCCTTTGTCAGATAAGAGGGAGAAAAGCTTTGGAGTGAATACAGATAGGAGCAGGGAGTGGCAATGAGTTGTTGCTGGGTCCTTGAGATCTTATCTTGATTTCCTAAAGCCTACAATTCTGTATTTTAAAGCGTTAATGTTGACCCACGTCCAGTTACTTTGCAGCGGTGGGTAGAGTGGACGTAAGAGCATGGACACAGACTGCAGGGTCAAAGCCCAGATCTAACCTCACTTTTGCCCACAATTGGTTTGATTAATGCCACACTTCACCAGGGCGTTATTTTTTTTCTCTCCCTGTTGTATGTGGACACTGTGGAAATTATGTAATTGTGACTGGCAACGGTGGCACAGCTGGTAGTCCCGACACCTCAGGACGCTGAGGCCAGAATGTGAGGCCGGTTTGAGCCACACAATGAAACCCAGTTTCTTGAGGGGGTGAGAGAGAGGGCCGGGAGGGTAGGAGTGTCTCCTGCTCTTGCGGAAAACCCAATTTTGTTGCCAGCACCCACACGGCAGCTCACTGTGATCCCAATCCTGTGACTGGAATTCCAACTGCCTGTGATTCCAATCCCAGGGGACCGAACACTCTCTTCTGGACTTGGCACGCTCCTCCGCGTGCATCGGCTCACACACGTAGACATAAGAGTAAATAAATGTATGTATATGCCTTAAGGCAAAACCCAAACCAAATCAAAACAAAAAAAGGTCGTGGATTAGTTTGGACATAAAAGCAGGCGGGTGGATGTGATCCAGGCAAACCTCCCGTGTTCTGGTTCTGTAGCCTGTCTGTGAGGCCGGCACTTGGAGGAAGAAGGCAGGAGAGATCTGTAGAAGCTTAAATCTGTTTTCCACAGGACAACAGTCAGGTGGCATGTCCTTTCCTGCCCAGGTACTGAAGAGTTTCTCCAACGATAAAACAGGCTTGTCATGGGCGGAGGGGCCAGGAGGGTGAAACAGCCCAGACGACTGAGATCGCAAACCCCCTCCGGTGAGGTGAGGTTTGCACCAGCATAAAAACCCCAGGGAGAGTAGAGTGCAGACAGCTCAACCGCTGAAGGGAAAGGACAGCCAAGCTGAGAAAGGAAGAGACCCAGCAAGCAGATACTCCTTCAGCTGGGCATCTGAGACCAAGTGACTGCTGATACAGAGAACTCTCCCTATAGGGGGGGCGGGCTGAGTGTCTCCTGTAATGTGTGTACAGAGCTACCAGGACTGGGAGTAGGGAGTACAGGGAATTTAGTAATCTAAATAAATAATTGTATTTTAAGGCAATTTAAATAGGTCTCACCTGATAGGGTTGTACTCCACTCCACAAAAGCAAACAAACAGAAAAACCACATAGTATGTTGACAATAATCACCCACACCTCACCACACCTACCCTTCCTGATTCTGGCTTAGATCTCACTTGTAGTCTCGAGAGTCGCTGGTAACTCTGCTGTGTTACCTCTGGTCAATTCTGTGGAATGCGGTGGGGCCATCCATCCAATCAACCACCCTGCAAGAGACCAAGGATCAGGAATTCAAGAATGGCTTCTCCTGAGTGGGGCGCACTTCTGCATCATTGTGGAGTAAAAAGATTGAAGATCTTTCTGGACAAGCCTGCTCTATAGTGGGAGAAACTTTTCAATGCCTGCCCTGAAGTCCTGTAACCTGGGCAGGAAAGGACAGGCCGCCTGACTGTTGTCCTGTGGGAAACATTTTAATCTTCTACAGATCTCTCCTGCCTTCTTCCTCCAGTTGTCAAATAAATCATCTGGAGGGACCATGTGTGTTAAAAAAAAAAATCATGCAATGTAAAAAAATGTAAATAATATAAACAAACAAACAAGACCTGAGGGCTGGAGACAGTGGCTCAGCAGTGCTTAAAGGTGTGAGCTGCTCTTGCAGAGGACCTGGGTTCAATTTCCAGCACCCATGTGGCAACTCAAAACCTCTGTAACTCCCATCCAGGGGAACTGACACCCTCTCTGACCTCAGCCAGCGCCGGGGCATGCACGTGGTGCTCAGGCTTACATGCAGGCAAAACACCAGTCCTTAGAAAAAAGAAAAGAACCAAAGTGTACATAAAGTCAACATCTGATTCCCGTTTCTTTGGCTAGACTACCCTCACCTTAGCCTCACCCTAGCCCTGTTGGGTGCTCGCTTAGCAATTGAAAGGCTTTGTTTTTGGGTTTTTCTTTTGTTTATTTGAGACTGGGTCTTACTAAGTAGCTCTGGTAGGTCAGAAACTCTGTGTAGATTAGGCTGGCCTTGAACTCACAGAGATCCACCTGCTTCTGAATCCCAAATTACCCCAATGTGTTACTGTGTTAACTTACCCTGTTTTTTTTTTTAAGATTTATTTTTACTATTTTTAATTATGTGTATTTGTGTGTCTGTGTGAGGGTGTTTGTATGCGTGAGTACAGGTGTTCTTGGAGTCCAGAAGAGGGTGTTGGAACTCTTGGAGCTAGAGTTACAGGTGTTTGTGACACACCTCACACAGTTACAGGTGTTTGTGACACACCTCACACAGTTACAGGTGTTTGTGACACACCTCACACAGTTACAGGTGTTTGTGACACACCTCACACAGTTGCTGGAAATTGAACCCTGGTCTTCTGCAAGATTCATGGGAGCTCTTGGCTGCTGAGTCATCTCTCCAGCCACCAGAACAGCTTTTAAACAGGAATTTTCCTATAAAGTCCATCCCCAAATGCCTCCCTCCCTATTAGGGATGGAAATGATGCCATTAATAACTCTGGGACTTTTTCTTTGTACAGGAGGATAATGTCTAGACAACATGTGTGCATTGTCTTTATACAGTGTTCACACAATGCATACCCCACGGGGATGAATGTGCTGGGAAAGGGGGGCTGGTTGGCTTGGACCTAGTCATTTGCAAAGGGTTTTATTTATATATATATGAGTAAATATATATATTCCGCTGTCCACCTTCTTGTCAGTCAGGTATCGAAGGTTGGGCATTCACTCATGTGTGCAATTAGTAAACATTTATCCTGCTCTTATGATATCACTGATATCAGCTCGGTGCAAAGAAAACAGGTCATTTAAACAGGCCCTGAACTGGAAGTGCTCCAAACCCGACGAGGGACATATTTGAGCAAAAGCGTGCATAGGATGTTAGGGTGAGTATGGCAATGCACTCACATAGAGTCTCTAGTGGGCCATCAATACAGCGAAAGCTGGAGTGACACATGGGTGCTAAATTCATCTGAGGAAGGAGGGAAGATGTTTCATGCAGAGGCAAGTGCACATGTTTAGCAATGGCTTCCTAATGCCCTCCGTGTGCCAAGGGCTAATAGGGCCATGCTCTCGGCACCGCCCTACAGGCTCTATGAATAGATTCACAGTCCATGCAAAAACAATGGGCCTTAGATTCAAGTAGAGCTTCCTGGCAAGGGCGTCTTAGTCCTGGCTGGCTAGATGCCCATGGGGAGTGTGTGTCTAGAAGCCTGCCTTTCCTCCTACAGCATCGATCACTTGCTTGTAATCTCCAGGGTCCTGTTTGTACCCCCACAGGACTATAAGCTTCGTGATGTCGGAATGAGTCTGTCTTGTCCACTGTTGTGCCCCAGGGCTCAGCACCAAGTGGTTCATGGTAAGTGCTCAATGAAATATTGATTCAAGGAATGCATAATAAATCAGTGGAGGTGGAAGCAGCAAGGCCAGGGACCTGCAAGTCACTTAGAATCTAGATGGCTTCCTTTTATTTTCCTCTCATATTATCTATCCGTGAGCTTTAGATAGAACCAAGGCCAGTGAAGATGTGAACATTCTGTTTTTAATTGACAAATATCAAATTATACTCGGCATGATAATTGGATGCGCGCAGCAGGAAAGGAGCGGTTTTGGGTGATCAGCGTCTCCGTCTTCTTGAACATTAGCCGCTGCTTTGTGCTTGGAAACCTTGAACACCTTTCTCCATGTTTTAAAGTGTATCCTGAGTTGCCAGTTACACTTACCTATCTTGCTATAGAACCCAAGAACAAATTCTTTCAATTGGCCTGCATTCTGGTACCCACTACCCAACACCCCTCTCCATCCCCCCCCTCCTCCTGCTTGGCCTTTTATAATCACATTTTATGCTCTTCCTTCCCGATGTACCTTTACAGCTTCCGTGCACCGATGAGAACAGTAGCATCTAGCCTTCTGCCTTGTTTCACTTAGCACAGTGTCCTCTGGTGCTGCCCTATCCTCCTTGTTGCAAATGCCAGGATTTCAACAAACCAAAGCCACAGTGAGCCAGCATCTCGCCCCTGTCCGAATAATTATCACACTGGCAGTACATAACGAATCAGGCAAGAAGGCAGAAAAGAGGGTGCTTATACATGGCTGAAGGGAATGCAAATCAATATAACCATCTCTGGAGACCAGTATGGAGGCTTCTAGAAAACAATAAATACAAATGACCCAGCAATTCCTACTGGAGATATAGCCAAAGGAAATGCAATAAGCAAATGCATAGCAAA